GTACCCCTACCCCCTACCCGTACCTTTTTCCTCACCTTTTACTTTCTCCTGCTTTTGGTTGTGAAGGTTAGGGAGTTTTGTTGTAGGCGTTATGTAAGGTAATTTCTCCTATTTAGTTGTACTTTTCTACTTTGTCTCCAAACACTGTGAGTTACTTTTACAAATATTCGGGCCAGTATTTGTTAGGCTCCTAGCCTGAGATCAAAGAAGCAAAGAAGCAAAAGAAAATTAAAAAATAAAATAACGCCTGATCTAGGATCTCAATTTATTTAGCTCCTGGCTTGTTCTATTGGTCTGCACTCAGCTTGCTCAGCGGAGTCTGTTTGGTGATACACTTTAGTGATACTAAATGACATTTACAGTTAGTTTCATTTCAAACTTTTGCCGATTTTGGCTACTTTTTACAGATAAAAGATTTGACATTAGAGGTTGTTGCCAGGAAGTAAGAATTCAAATAGTTCGATGGGCTCAGAGGTTGACTGTTCTGGTGTTTCAAGAGCAGTATGGCTCGTAAAGGTAAGGGATTTAGTGGTTCCCCGACATCTGAACTGAACAACCGTCTACTGGCATGGACCGAACTGAAATGTTTCATTTTGTCAACCTCTAGCAGTTAATTTGAGTTGTGAATTACTGGTTGCTTACACATCGTACGGTGAATGATAACATTAAGATAAATAATCTACATATTTGTCGGTTACAAACTCGCTAAATCTAGCTGTTTTATGCCATTTTCTTATTAGAGCGTTTTGAACCTCGGGAGTTCCTTACGTACAGCGGATTATCTTTCTTTATTTCTAACATGAAATTTTAGCAAGCTAGTTTTCAGCGAGTTCCTGAGTTATTCTAACGCCAATGTCAGATATAGAAGCAGTACACTATTACCAAATCATTGACACGGGTAAGACTTCCCCATATAAAAAAAAAATGCACTTTATTTGAGTGTCAATGTATTTAGCACGTAAGTACTAATTGGGGACACTATTTTTACGTCTCCTAATGGAGACTGGACCGCCATTTTACGTGTTCATCCGAGCCACGCGAAGGTCTAGCTGTTTGAAGGACAAAGGAAGTACCTTCATTTCTCAGTTATTTTAAGACCCTGAGTATTGGTCCGGCCCCGAGAATCGAACCCGTGACCTCCCGCTCTGCAGTCAAGCGCTCTACCAACTGAGCTAAACCTGCTGCGGTATATAACCCCATACATTTGTTATACATACATTTTTCTACCCTGTTCATGTTGTACTTACTGTACTTTGTGGTAACTAGTTTACCTAAAGGGTAGAAATGCTGCCGTAGGCAAGGAACAGTGAAGAAATGAAAAATTAATTGTGAAGTAATTAGTAGAAGGTTATATGAGGCTAAGAGGGCTATCCAAAATCTTTGTGGTGACCTAAATTTGGAAATTATCTTTCTTTTAGTTTGTTTAAGGTGACTCCAACTTAATTATGAGCCAGTTTATAATTATTATTTTTCTAACGTGCTTGTGTCGCATCAGAAATGGCCGGATAATTCTTGATTTTGGACATGTATTAGTATGTGTAATCAAATGGTGACGAGTGAAATTAGGGAATAATTTCACGCGCGTTTTGTCCAAATCCTAATAATTTCCGGAGCCTTCAGGCTCGGGAAATTATTAGGATTTGGACAAAACGCAAGTGAAATTATTCCCTAATTTCACGAGTATACCATTTAATTCCCTATTAATATTATGGGTGACAAATTACGTTAGCAATCTTGGATTTTTGACATGTTTATCCTGGATCGTATCGATCGAGAACTCCACTCTCTCACAGAGTACTTATTGTGATTATTTCATTGATATTGAAGACATCTCCTCTCCAACTAGACTTCTTTATTTACTTACTTGATTTACTTGACAACAGGTGGCAAACTTGAAGAATTGCTTGTCAGTTGTCTTTCCTTATAAATCAAAAGTATCAAACTTTGTATTAAAGTTGTTAAATTATTATAAAATCAACTCAGTTGAATGCCTTGAAAAGTGGGAAGGGACAGGGGGGCAGGAGCCCGGGAAAACAGGGGGCGGGAGAAGAAAGGGCAGGAAGCAGGATCTCTAAGATGGCAGGAAGTGGGAGAGAAATTCAAAAAGGCAAGCTTTCGTTATTTGTTACTGCATATCATCGACTCAAAGAAACGAACCCAACAATTGTTTCTTGACTTCCATTTAACATTCTCCAAGGCTGAAAGCAAAATTTTGTCTGCAAAAAAAGTCAAGAAACAAAAATTCGTACTCAGGATAAAAAAAAACAGCATTTACTTCAAGTGAAATTGGAAACCTTTCCAAGTTGCTTACATGATAGGTCATGAATGAGATGGAATGACACATGTGCAAGTGTGTCAACTGTGTCAGTTGTGTCAGTGTCTCCTGTCTTGCTAAAGGGCGGTAGTCAGGAGAGAAAGGGACAAAAAGGTATGGGAGGTGGAAAAATGGGGTATGGGAAGCGGGAGGTTGTGAGCACCCTCTCCCTCCCTCCCCTCCCACTGAAAACTGTGGCAACAATTCTCTTGAATTTCATTTGGGTTGCTTCATCTCCCTCCAAACTGGAAACTATGTCATGTTCATGCAATAAAAAGTATTTCTGAAACTTAAGTTCTTATTGAAAGAACTGCACTGAAGAGTTTCAAAATTGACAACTGTGCATACTTTGTGACAATATTTTTTCCTCGTATTGACAGGCGGACAATTTTAAACTCAAGTATGTCTGGACGGACAGGCCAGTGAGTGACCATGAGATGAATGTAAGTACTGTGCATGTTCACACAGAATTTTAGATTTTGCATTTTTAAATTGATTTCTTTAAGCACACACCTCAGTATAGAAAATAAGCTTGAAAGCTCAGAAAGATTCATATAACCAAATTTTAAATGCACTTCACCTTTATTGCCATCATCGTCTTTCTTATATATATTCAACGCCTCTTTTGTCCCTCAGGTTGCTGAATTTTCTCTTTCCTCAGGTTTGTGAAATTCCTTTTAATCTTTAACAGTGCTGTCAACTTTCCTGAATATTAAATCCGGGAGACTCTGGATTTTGGATCATATCTCCCGGTCTTCAGATTAGAGTATGAAAATTCCTGGATGATCGCCTAAGTTTGCCATTTCTTTAGTAGACTTGACTTTTTGACAATGAAATTTCAGGTATTTTGTGTTGTCTAAGCTATTTTGATGTTAACATTGAACATTTCCCCATGAACTCTAGTATGCCCTTGTTACAGTAATATAATGTGATTGGTGAAATTAAGTAAACCAATCAGTTTAAATGTTACAATGCTAACAACGTCTTTTTTGTGCGTTTTGTGTCATCACAAATTGGTGACGATTGGAGTCAACAAGTATTTTTGCGCAAATGACATCATGTGCTGCATGTTATGACTTCATCTATCATTCCCTTCCCTATGAATTCTCGATAATTATTTGACGATGTATTAGGCTGACAGCCATGCTTTAAATGCATCATTTTATTTTCAGATAAAACATGAGAAGAAAAAGAAAGAAGAAGGAAAGAGGGCTCGTGAAGATGAAGATGTCGTTAAAGCCTTGTTGTTCAATGCCTTTGAAAGGCATCAGTATTACAACTTAAAGGACCTTATTAGCATTACAAAACAACCAGTGGTAAGAATTGCTTATGAAATCCAGGATGTGCAGCACCCGGGGTGGGGATGAGAGCACTCCTTATAATGGCCTATATGGTGAGGCTCCCCCCAAATGGGGCATCTTTTTCAGGCGTCAGGTATATGAAGGGGTAGGGATTTCACTTGCTGAAGTAACTGAAGGGGTAGGGAAATCTGTCGTTTTGATCGGTGAAAAGGCCCAAAAGGGCTAACACATGCATTTTTATTGAGAACACTTTCTGTTATTGTCATTCATTCATATTTGATAGCAGTGCATTCATAGCAGTTAAAAGGGATGCAAAGTTCTAAACTAGGTGTGAGAAAGGGGTACCATTTGTCAATAGAAGGTATACAAAAGGGTACTTTTTCTGTCAAAAATGGTGTGTAAAGGGGTAAAAGGTTGGACTCAGGGTGGAGCCTCCCTGTATAAAACTTTGTTGAGTACCTTGTGGGGCATGTACAAGTTTTCTAAGATTTGTTTGTTGACCAAGGGCAGAGGTTGGTCGCCACAGTCACCGGTTATCACTGAAGCACAGCTCTGTATGTCCAATGTTCAATGTTTAGAACCCAGTTAGATACCTCGCCTTAGGAGTCCATAATTTTCCCAATTTTTTTTTCCTGGAACTTTTTGAAAAGGGCACATATATCTTCAAGGTATTTTCTTACAAAAAGGTCGCATTTAATAACCTCCTTGAAATACGGTTACACTAAGTAACCCCTGGAAGGAAGTCACACCATATTGATAATAACTAACAATAAAATAAGAGCTTCTTAATTAAGAATTAACTGTGCCTGACTTTAGAAGTATGCAGGTATTCTGTTCAATTTATTAATCATGTGAAATCACCAGTTCTGTAATTAAACGTGGCCTGACTTTTTCAAACCTCTTTTACAAAGTGCGTTTTTTAATTTTATTTTTTTGTTTGTTTCACATAGTAGAAGATCCCAATGTCAACAAAGAGTATCTCAGTCATGAAGCCACAAACCAGGGACAACATGTGGAGATCAATAACACATTACTTCAAGAACAGAATAAACCTACACAGGAAATAACAATTCAAGTGTATCCCAACAGCCAAGCTATTTCCTTGGTAACGACTAGCATTCTTTCTGCTGATGTGACTTCCTTTCCAACTCAAGTTCCTACATTTTTAACAGAGGGTGATGCTGAAGCAAGTGAAACACATTATCAAGTTGTTACAACAAGCTCAATGCTAAATCATGGAGATGGTAGTACTGCAGCTCTGGATGTGCTTACCTCCTCAGCAGATCTCACCAGAAATGTGATTTTGACAGATCAGCAACAGGTGTTGCTGAGTGGAATGCTGGTACCGGGAGTGACAGGAAACCAGGCAATTCACATCAACATGCATGACGCGTGATGGAAGTCATGGCATGGAGGTGGATGAAACATCACAAGATGAACAGGTATTTGAACTCTGTCCAGCAGCATGCAAAGAAAGTAGTGTTCGATTGCCCGGGGCTAGTGGATTTTGCTATTGGGCTAGTGAATTCTGTTTTTAACTTGCCCGATGGGCAAGTGATGTTTTTTTGAGAAATTCAAATAACAGAAGAACTGTGAAATCAATTCTGCTAGTAAAAAAGTTTTTGGGGCTGGTTGAAATGACGTCTGGGCTAGTAAATGCTAGCTTTAGCTTGCCTGAATGGCAAGCTGTAAAAATGATTTTCTTTGCACCGTGTCCAGTCATAAGTAGGTCGAATACAATTTTCCAGATGCATACAGTCAAGAATCTTAAAGACAGTAAGCGATGTCTCCGCAACATTAGGGTTATTCATGTACTCCTATCAAAACCATACTCTACCTTTAAAATTTCATTGTAAATTCACCTTACAAAGTCAAATTCATTCGTATAATATAAGAAACTCATGTAAATTTCGTCTGCCTTTCTGTCGTACTCGAACCAAGCAATTTTCCGTTTTTTATCAAGGACCTAAATTTTACAACACCTTAAACACCAACATCATCAACGCTTCCTCACCTTTCTCCTTTAAAAGAGCACTTAAGGCATTTATTTGTAATAATTATTAGTATACTTCAACAAAAATCTTGGGAAAAAGCCTTTTAATATTCAACATTTGTAAACTTCCGTGATAGTGATTAGTTTAATTTTTCACCTGATATTATATTGTACCCGTCGCTGTAATTTTTATGCCATCTTCGAAAAATTGCAATTGAGGAGGCCTAATTAACATAAGCTCTATAGTTTCTTTTAGGCCTCCTCGCCATCTCTTCCTACATTTTTTTTTTGGCATCTTTAAGTAATTATTGTAATTGTGTGGCAAATAAATAAAATACCTAAAATACCTAGTTAGTACGCTGTATCTCAAAGGCATGCGTAATTTTCAACTCATCCACCCTCCAGCAGCTCACTGGTAAAAATTTATTTTGTCTGTAAGTAAACTTTTTCCTTTAAAAATTTCATGGTCACTTGAATCAAGGTTTTAACATATTAATCTGAAGGTTATGGGGTTTTAAAAATAAGTATGTTGAGTTTCTGTTTACCCTTGTTGATTATTGTAAAATGTTGAGTTCTGCTGCTAATTTGGTACTGTTGAAACTCGAAATCTTCTTGTAAAGCAAATATGTTACAAAGAAATGAGAGTTTCTTGGTAGACCAGTGCATTGTACTTTTGATCTTTAAGACCTGTTGTGTTTTGTATGTTATTCATGAACAGTAGCTGAATGAGTTAACCATGTTTAATAACCAATTTAATACGCCATCTGTGGGTTGGTATGCTTGTCCCTAGTTTGATTTTCAAAACCAGTCGTTTCATGCATTGAGGAGGAAGCCATGTCCCTGTTGGCATTGTATAATTTATTATTGTTTTTGGGCTTAAATGGTCTTCATCACTGTTGTTATTTCAACCCATCATTGTGTGGTTTGTCGCCATTTCATTTGCCTCATGTCGCCATTTCAAGGGCATGTTGCTTGTCGAAATTTTACCCGGGAAGGGCGTCATTAGTATTTTCTTCATTGTAACTCATAAACAAGGTTCTCTGCAGACAAAATCAGACACAGTGTTGTACATGCAGTATGGTGCAGTATTGCACAGTCACTAATGAAAGATAGTAATATTATTGTGGTCATTTACATCTACAGGAGGATGAGGAACAGTGTAGTGATGGCAAACGTCATGTGTGCCCACACCCTGACTGTAATGTAGTGTGTTCCAAAGCATCCAAATTGAAGCTTCATATGCTAGTGCATACAGGGGAAAGACCCTTCAAGGTATCTAAGAAATTAAAAAAAAATTTAAAAGTCTTCTGTTGTGAGTTTTTATTAAAATTTTCATTTGTGAGAGTCAATCAAATAACTTAGGAAAATGCTTCTGAAGACCTTTCATGTGAATTGCCTCAAAGTTCAGTAATGAATACACACACTGTATGTATTTTGTTATACAACAGCTTCCCCCTGAATGGTTTTATCAAAGCATTTGGTTTGTCATTGTTATCGTCTTTTTCATCAAAGCACAAATAATTACGCAGTTAACCATAGTTAACAACGACATCACTTAAATGGAGGTTGGGTGCCTGGAGTATCCAGGGGCAGGGGATCCACTATTGGCAGCCAGCCCCTAGATTGAAATAATGCCTCCTTGACTGACACAACAGCGCAACCCAGCCATTAGCCTCCACCTGAAATGAAAGGAACAGGCACCCGTCATACTGAAAACATCAGTGGAGAAAAACAAACAAAGCCTAGGGGGAGGGGGGGAGGGGAAGAAAATGGCGGACAGAACCTAGCACAAAGGAAAACTGAACGCGCCAAAGAATCACATGATCAATGTAGCCAGCTACTGGGCATGCGCATGTCAAAGACCGCTGACCTCAGGCACTTAAGGCGCTCTTAGTTGTTAAATCCTTTAAATTGCATTTAGATGCATGATAAGCACTGACTAGTTCCTTGGAATTAAGTGACCTGCACCCTGACTTGAAGTCAAGCCATCTTTCTAGCATCAGAAAACAGTACAGCTGGAAAGAACTGCCCTGGAAAGAATGGCAGCTTTTTTGAATGGTGACATATTTTAATAGTCAGAGATCCAGCCGTTAGGGAAAGCTCGGGAGGGTATGTACCACCGGATGGGGTCGCATTTTCACGACTGGATTGACTATTATGGGGTTGGATTTTTATTAAGAGTTACTAGAATGGGGTTACACGTTTTCAGGATTTTGAGGGTCAGAAAATTCAGTTATGTAGGGATTTAAAATAAAAAGAAAGGGTGACCAAGTTAAAAGGCTTTATAAGGTAGATGCATTTATATTAAACAGAAAGTGACTAAAATGGGATTGCTAAAATTACTTTTTTCCCAAAGTGACTATAAAAAAGCGATGGGTCTATAATGTGACCACAGAATAGACTGTAATGGGGTAGGGGTTCTAAGAGGCCAGAGGCACATACTCAGCAAAAATTAGCCCAAGTAACCCCCCCGCCCAGGGGGGAAAGGTGGAGATGGGGGCTGCACTCATCAAGACCATGTGATAAGGGGGAGGGCAGTCTCCCTTTTTTCTCCACCCTGCAGGCCTCGTCATGTTGTCAACATATACACAATGTAAGCGGGGATTTCGCCTGCAAAATCAAAGGTTCAAGCCATGTTGCACATCATAACGGATGGTCACCCAGTTGGATTTCAACATCAGATTAATGCCTTTTTCATTGATTTCAGTGTCCTCAAGAAGGGTGTGAATGGGCCTTCACAACATCATACAAATTGAAGAGGCATGTTCGAGGCCACACTGGAGAGAAGCCATTTCTGGTAGGTTTTTTACACAGTCTTATTCGGGTTTAACAGGCATGCCATGTTCAATTTTCAAGTACTAAGGGTAACTGTACATACTTGACCTCTGCTTCTGTTGTTGTGGACAGATAGATGGGAACCAAGGAAAAGAAGGGAAGGATTTAGTCTGGGCAAAGCCCAGCCTGTGTCAGGGTCTCAGATAGTTGGGATGTTGCAAAAATATAACAAGCCAAGCAAAAATATGACGTGCATGATCTGAGGGAGGGGGTAGTGGCCCTCTCTTTCCCCAACCCCTACACAATTTTTACTGCTGTAAAACCTCACAATCTTGGAGCCTGGAACAGGCTTCCTGAAGCCTGAGGAGTCAAGAGAGTTGATTATCTTTTAAAAGTCTGGATTTAATGTGTAGGATATAAAAATGTTGCAAATTGGATGACTGGTGGACTTTTTTGTTTAACAGTGCACCTATGAAGGATGTGGCAAGTGTTTCACCACCGCTTACAACTTGAAGACACATGTCAGAGCCCACTATAGAACAGACACCCACATGTGCAGATACGAAGGCTGTGACAAGACATTTCCTACAGCACACAAGCTAAAAGTTCACGAAAGAAGACATCAAACAGAGAACAAGCCATATAAATGCGAAATGGAGGGGTGCGGTAAGGTGTTCTCTGCCAATGGGACTTTAACAGCCGACATGAAGATTCACAATGGCGAGAGGCCGCATGCATGCCCTGTAGATGGATGTGAGAAAAGATTTACAAAGGCATCGAAGTTAAAGCTGCATTTGAGGTCACATACGGGTGAAAGGCCATTTCACTGTGAAGTACAGGTATAACTATCATATGTTTATGGTCGAATCTCTCTCTACTGTATGTCTCACTTCACCGCAGTGTATAAATGAGTGCTGACTGCAAACTGGTGGGTATAACCCTATGATAGACTAACGTTCTATCCAGTGGGGAGTGGTAATACCCCTGTGTTCTTCCGTTATACACTCTGGCCTTATAGGCCTCTTGGGCTCAAGGTGCACTTAAAACATTTTTACCCGACATGTATTTTAGATACCGTACTCCCCTAAATTTCTCTCTTTCCTGTCTGACAGTGATTTTTGTAGAGATTTGATTCATTTCACAGTGTCTTTTTTGTTCAGGAATGTGGCTGGTCTTTCACAAGTGCTTATAAACTTAAGCAGCATATGCGGAAACACACGGGAGAGAGACCATTTACGTGCCTCCATGGGGGCTGCCTTAAATCATTCACAAGATCAAGTCATTTAAAGACCCATGTGCTTGTCCATACAGGAGAAAAGCCTTATGTTTGCCCTGTGGACGGTAAGGTTGTTTTCCCAAATGAAGTTTATTATGCATACCTTTTTTTGCCAATTATCTCTTTACAATAAAAAAAGATGTGCGAAAACCTTCTCTTGGAAATTGAATGGGACACAATTCTCTCCTCAAGCACTGGAGACAAAATTTTAATTTTCATTAAGAATTGATGCCATTCAGTTATTCATAGTCATGTACCATACTCTGAGAAATCATAATAACTTGATTTTTTTGCCAGAGACTGAAATTCAAGTCTTGCAAAATTTGACTTTCCCATTCTTTCAAATTTGAGGTGCCCACCAAAACTGGATAGCTTTTGGACTGTTCATGGTCCCCTATTTTTCCATGAAGATAGTTATTATTGAGCACTTATCACTATGGGTGGCTAGCTTGGTCTCATGTAGTGAGGGGGTGGGTGTTGGGATTTATAGTAGTATTAGCGAGGGAGGTGAGAAAAGTAGAAATATTTCATTATGTTATGAATAAAATTTATTAAATATTGTTCTTGCCTCTTCCCAACCATCCCCTGCTCCCAAAGTAAATTTGAAATGGTACATTTGAAAGTTGATCCTCACAATCGTACAGAAAAAAAGGGGACTGTGAACAGTCTGGATAGGTAGCAAGGGACTATTCACATGATACCAAAATGACTTTCATTCTGGAACGAGCTCACCCCATCTTAAGATAATTTTTCTGTATTTTTTTACGCGATGCCAAACAGTCTTTTGGTTCCCACACAAGTCATTTCGGTTTTCAATCTGAGTGAATGAAATTCTTGTTTTGGTATGAAATTTCATTCTGGTATCATGTAAACTGAAAACGAACTTAATTCTGGATTGTAAACAGTGTGTAAATCACAAATTGTGTAGTCTGGGGTAACTGGCACATGCGTATCTGATGTGGTGCAAAAACCATGCAAGCGAGAATATGCCAAACCAGTGAATTTTATGATGTGAACGCACTACGAACTTCATTCTGGAATGAAACTCATTCCTGAATGAAAGTCATTCTGGTATCATATAAACAGTCCCTAAGATAGAGAAGTTTAATGTGCCTGTTCATTTTTTTTAAGGGTGCAACAAGGCATTTACTGCAGGAAGTAGTCTTAATGTACACATGTGTAAACACACTGGTGAGAAACCATTCAAGTGTGATATTGATGGTTGTGCAAAGACCTACACCACTGCTGCTAACTTAAGGGCTCATCAGAAGCGACATGGAATGAAGGCCGTAGTGGGTAAGAACTTAGACATGAAGTTGTGCCAATAAAGTTAATGCTCTCGCCTGTAAAGAATGAAATCAACTTTTGGACATTCAATTACCTGTACTATTCATATGGATAAAAAGAGATTTTGAAGCATGGGCAAGTTAGGGTACTTTTGGTGCTTACCTTTTGATAGAAAAACTTGAATTGGTTAGGTTGCCCAGTGCATGATGATATACACTTTCCCTGCTGCCTGCAGAAATACCTTTTCTGTTACGCTTTGAACTTAACAAAGGCAGGAATAAAAGGCATAAAGGAAAATGTAAAACAAATGGTAAGCGATATTCCATTTGGCAGCTGTAACCACATGACCTCCTTTAAGTTTGTTATTGTTCTGTCTTTACCCCCTACCTTTCCTCCTTGCTCTAAATGTTCTTTATTATACTGTGGTTACCTTCCTTTTTTTCCTACAGTTGATTTCAATGATGCTTCCCAAGGTGACATGCCTGCAGAGCTTGGTGTAGTTAGCTGCGGGAGCAATGCTAGTGAAACAGAACCCGAAGTCATGTACACCACCATTGGTTCTTTCCACCCAAGCAATTTTAACCTAGATGATGCTGCACGTCTTTCAGCAGTTGGTATTCATATACCCGCTTCATTGCAGCCAAACACATTGTGTGCCCTGGTAACTTCCACAGGCAACTCACTTTCCACAGGCATCCCACTTGTGTCTCCTCCGACTGAACTTGCATTGGAAACAGAAAAGAAACAGTCAGAAGATGGAGAAATGAAGGAAGCAAGTATATCAGGAATTCAAGTGCCAGTCTCAGTTCAACAAGAGCAATTTGTTACCGAGGACCTAGAAAATAATACAAAACTTGATGTAACGGAGTTCGTCGTGAGAAGTACTAGTGATGACACAATTTCACCTGCCGCCCAGGTAAGGACAGAGATGGTTGGTGTGGACGGAACCAAGCTCTCTGGAAACTTTGATTTGTGTATAACCAGCATGATGAGTCATATAACAAGTGAAGCGAGACAAGATGGAACTGGAGGACACCCTACTGTTAAAAGTGTTGTGTCATCAGGTCGGTCTCGTAAAAGGTCCAGAACTCTTGACTTTCGAGATGTTCACCCTGAGGATCAGTTTGCGCCGCCTGCTGTTATATTTCAGGTGTGTTTTTGTAAGTTTCGTATGTTAAAACATTCGCCCCTGATACGCCCGTGTGTATCCAAGTCCCTAACCTTCTCCTGCTTGTGACGTCATTAGGACAACTTTGTCATCTCACTTGTGCAGGGTGAAGAGATCTTCAAACCATACCATAATGAGCAAGATCCAGTCAAGGTGGCCGGAGAAAAGGGAAAAAAAACACGTAACGTTAACCCGAAAATTCCTCTTGTTCCACTTCCCACCGACCTTTCCTTTCATCTAATCGCAAGATCCTAAATGCTTTCCTAAATTAAAAGCTTTTCCCACCAAACTGAAGCCTTCTAAAATGCCCAGTAAAAGAAAAAAAAGTGGAGGAAGAAAAGCAGAAGAAGAGTGGAGGAGATAAATTTTGCTCTCTGCGCATACCTGAGCTTCAAAAGCTATTCTCTTGCATCTAGATCCTTGGCTTCTTGACGTAAGACATTGCATAAACCTTCATTTTGAGCTCCTGAGGTTGCATAATTGTTAGGCCAAAAAATGTGATTGTAATTTGACATCTGTTGGTTTGCAGGATGAAGTCAAGTCCTCAGACACTGAAAATGAGGCTGAAGTCTTAGTGGCTCAGATCCAGCAGTCCCCTGAGGGAATTGCCACGGTTCATATTCCCAGGGATTCGTTTCAAATCAATTTACCCCACGGACCAGTAACTGATTCAACAACAGCTCATGTACCGGAAGTGGAACATGTGGATGTCAATACATGTGGTAACCATGGTAACACCATTGAGATTCCTTTAGAAGCTAATTCAACGCTACCCGGTGCGTCTGCGCAAAGTGAAGTTATGGAAAAAGGAGGCTTATCTCCATATATGGACAATCAAAGCTCTTCAGAGCAAGACGAAGGGAACGGAGACACTTATCCAGAAAGCACAATTAATTTACAAGACCTCCGATAATATGTACATAATTCATAGCAACAACAGTTGTATATTGTAGATAATTTTTCTTTCTAGCTCGATTTACTAATTTATTTAGTAGCCTTATTTAAGAGGTTAATTGTCGAAATTAGAAACAGCGTTGGAAAACGTCAAAAATTCATCTCAAAGAATCGATTATCGACAATAAAATCGTATCCACTGTCTTTACAGGGCGTAGCTGGAGAGACGAGACGCTGGTCATCACGTAGCCTGCATAACAGGCAAGGAGGAGGGAGCAGGGAGCGCCAGACGCGCGCTACGGAGGCGCTGCTTGCTTTCTTTGCCCTTGTCTTCGCTCACTTGAAAACCGCGAAAAAAAACGCCTGTTATGTAGGCTGGCAATCGCTTAGACAAAAAATATATGTATTAGAAATCGTTTTTCATTGACTCTGAAAATTGACTGATGTCAGTCACAGAAAGTATGAGAACAAGTGCCGGTATACGGAATAATGATAATATCAAGTATCAAGTATTTCCTCACGTTATTGACAAATTTCTAAGTCAGATCTTAATTAAAATTACCTGCAAATGACCAAATAGCTTTTCGCGACGTTTCACCTTATCATTCGGCTTAGAGCACTTGAGTCAGAGATATAATTTTGATGGAGAAAAACAAAGACTGTAACTATAAATAGACCTGATGAAGAGAGAACTGATAATCAGCTCTTAACACCTGTTCTTAGATCCATCTACCAACATGGCGGCACTTTTTAGAGCTCCAGCTTTCCTGAGCTGTCAATGCTGTGAGCTCTAGATGATCATATCTTGATAATACGAAACTGTGAGAGATTAAAGTTGTAGATGAAGAAGACACATCTTAGCTAAGCCGCGTCTTTTCTCAATCGAAATGTGCAGTTTATACGGGACATTTTCTGGGGTGTCGTGTACCTATATAGCATAAATACCAGAATATTCCTCCCCCTCCTATGCCTGAATGCTTATTCTTCAATATGAACTCTTGGTTCACATTGTTAGGTGTTAATCAGCCTGCTTGTAGGCACAAAAAGGGGAGGGGAGGGAGGAAAAAAGAGGCAAGGGAGAGGGTCACAGTTCCTTTGAAGGGTGGTCTCCCGATCGACCAAACTCAAGTGAAGTTATAAACGAAAATCAAATGACCAGCTTGGGGGAAGAGTTTGTACCAGCCGGGCCTGATGCATGTGATCGCATAAATCCGCTCCACTATTCTTGTAACACCAGAAACAAAAAGGCCCATGCTATGATCAATGACCTCCTCAATATTGTGTTTTTCGCGGCATTTTCATTGAACGCGAGCATTTTGTGTCAGTGTGATTGAAGTGATTTTTTAAACTGGCAATTTTAATCAAAAGTTTTCCTCAACTTGCTGCGCTTTTCGAATGAATGATTATTTTTGTCTACCACTTTTAATTTTAGTCGTGACGAGCAATTCAGGCATAAGAGGAGGGAGGAATACTCCGGTATTTATGCTAACACTAGTTTTCCTTAACTTTCTTCGCTTTCATTGTCTACCGAGAAGTTTGGAAAGTTTGTATGTTTCTTTCCCAGTACTTTTAAATTTATTCAGGGGCTAGCTTGTGGTAATCCACACGGCAATAGATCTTTTTCAAAAATTCCATAATACTCTTTGTTTTCCCTCCAAAATTTTGCATTAGCATTGTTTTCAATTTCTCTTGGGGGGAAAAGCCTATTGTCTACTCATTCACTTGCCTGTTTTGTTATCGATTTGTCAAGTTTTAATCAACGGCCTTTTTTTTCTGATTGCGTCTAATTCAAGCGTTAGTCTAATTGTTCATTGATGAACTGAGTACTGTTTTTCTCAATGTATTGTCAAGTCCCATGCTTATCCACTAGTGCTGTTTTCAACGTTATGTAATCGAGCGAGTCGGCAAACGTTTCTCTTTGAATGTGACCAATCTATGCTTTGATTGCCCATTGTTGAACATAGAGTGCGTGCTTTTCTCACATACAGTTTCAAGAAAAGATTTATCAAAAACATTTCTCACGCTGGTTTGAATTTTAATCGAGCGACCGTATAAATGGAGACACCAATTTCAAGTTGATTAAACTGTGTTTATCAAGCCAGAAGCCTCCGTGCCTTTCATTGCCTGCGGTACAGTGAAGACCAAACTCAGCTAACCGATCTTGGTCTGGAATGAAAGTCAAGAATCTCCTTTGCCTCCTCGAAAACGGCAGGTTTGTTCTTAGTTGAACTTTAACTTTCTTCTGTGCGTTATTGTCGCCCGAAGTTACCTGTGAAATGCATGGTCCCTTTGTTATGTTGGTTCGATAAATGTTGAACTGGAGGGACAAATATGTAAAAGGTTTACGGTGTCTGAACAAGATAAACGCGAGTAGGATCAAATAGGCCTATTTTGTTGATGTATATGTAGTTAGAATTTTTTGCTTTGATTAAAGAAGTGTTCACTCCTGTGGCTACACATATAAAATAAACGTCAAACATTGGACAGTTTTTTATTACTGTGACTCAGACTATATGCTTTTATATTTGATTAACCGCGACCTTGTTAATTAATGAACGATTTGAATTTAAGTTATGCTTTTATGCCGCGCAAACGGGATGCAAACAAACCAACTGTTGGCATTATGGCAATTTTGGCGTAAAGTGCTTAGCTTGCACCGGCAGAGAATTACAATGCTTCCCGGGACGGTTCAGGCTGACATAAGATAATAGTCGACAGAGGGGCAAGACAGGTGTGAATAAAGCTGAAGGTAACGAGAAACCAGTTAAAACAAGAAAATAAGGTTAATTCGGAGTGCAATTCTTAGACGTTTGTACGGTGATATTTACAACAACAAATAACACTTTCCATTTTTTAACAGGTACTACCCGACCATAAGGAAAAGCACAACAATTTGCCTTGCAAGAAAGTCTTCAAAATAACAATAAACGTACTGCCACGGTCCTTAACAAGGATATGCAGCCAACTCATTTGTGTGTCTGTCATTTCTTCAGTATATACCAAACCTATATGGTAAGTTCATTTTTTGCACAACACAGTCGGTTGGTCGCGTCCTCCTGCAATTTTCAATTGTTTTGAACGGGTTATTATTCTAAATAAATTTGAAGAAGATGTCGTTGAGGTGCAACAGAAGATCGTTATTAGAAATAATAAACTACTGTTTCAATTCAGTAACCATAATAATAACCTGCTTTTCAAAAACTATGGGAAACTACGCGCTCGGTCATTATTTTTAATAAGGTCTCGAGGCTCATCGATTAAGCTATATTTCTTTTCATGTTACATCTTTCTTCACAGAAACTTCGAAGAGAGGTTTATGGCCTCTCTGACAATTCTGGTTTGGTATATACACCAAGAAAACTGCATGTTGTATTTAGTTATAAACTAAACCTCTTAAGGCCTAAAAGAGAGAAAATATCACAGTCTAAAAGAAGTTTACCCTTTTAAATTTAGTAAAGAAAGTTCCGTTTCGTAAACAAAACAAAACCTTACTCACAGCAAACTTTCTCAGCGTGAACCAACTATCAAAAATACCCAAACGAAAAAACTAAAGATACCTCAACAAAGGTAAGTAAAACGGTAAGTTTATTTATATTGTTTCTTTCTTAGCCCTGGGGACTAAGTGCTCCGCCCAGAGGGGGGAGAGCCCTGGGGACTAAGTGCTCCGCCCAGAGGGGGGAGAGCCCTGGGGACTAAGTGCTCCGCCCAGAGGGGGGAGAGCCCTGGGGACTAAGTGCTCCGCCCAGAGGGGGGAGAGCCCTGGGGACTAAGTGCTCCGCCCAGAGGGGGAGAGCCCTGGGGACTAAGTGCTCCGCCCAGAGGGGAGAGCCCTGGGGACTAAGTGCTCCGCCCAGAGGGGAGAGCCCTGGGGACTAAGTGCTCCGCCCAGAGGGGAGAGCCCTGGGGACTAAGTGCTCCGCCCAGAGGGGAGAGCCCTGGGGACTAAGTGCTCCGCCCAGAGGGGAGAGCCCTGGGGACTAAGTGCTCCGCCCAGAGGGGGAGAGCCCTGGGGACTAAGTGCTCCGCCCAGAGGGGAGAGCCCTGGGGACTAAGTGCTCCGCCCAGAGGGGGAGAGCCCTGGGGACTAAGTGCTCCGCCCAGAGGGGAGAGCCCTGGGGACTAAGTGCTCCGCCCAGAGGGGAGAGCCCTGGGGACTAAGTGCTCCGCCCAGAGGGGGGAGAGCCCTGGGGACTAAGTGCTCCGCCCAGGGGGGAGAGCCCTGGGGACTAAGTGCTCCGCCCAGAGGGGAGAGCCCTGGGGACTAAGTGCTCCGCCCAGAGGGGGAGAGCCCTGGGGACTAAGTGCTCCGCCCAGAGGAGCCCTGGGGGAGAGCCCTGGGGACTAAGTGCTCCGCCCAGAGGGGAGAGCCCTGGGGACTAAGTGCTCCGCCCAGAGGGGGAGAGCCCTGGGGACTAAGTGCTCCGCCCAGAGGGGAGAGCCCTGGGGACTAAGTGCTCCCGCCCAGAGGGGGAGAGCCCTGGGGACTAAGTGCTCCGCCCAGAGGGGGAGCCCTGGGGACTAAGTGCTCCGCCCAGAGGGGGGGGAGCCCTGGGGACTAAGTGCTCCGCCCAGAGGGGAGAGCCCTGGGACTAAGTGCTCCGCCCAGAGGGGGAGAGCCCTGGGGACTAAGTGCTCCGCCCAGAGGGGGAGAGCCCTGGGGACTAAGTGCTCCGCCCAGAGGGGAGAGCCCTGGGGACTAAGTGCTCCGCCCAGAGGGGGGAGAGCCCTGGGGACTAAGTGCTCCGCCCAGAGGGGGGAGAGCCCTGGGGACTAAGTGCTCCGCCCAGAGGGGGGAGAGCCCTGGGGACTAAGTGCTCCGCCCAGAGGGGGGAGAGCCCTGGGGACTAAGTGCTCCGCCCAGAGGGGGGAGAGCCCTGGGGACTAAGTGCTCCGCCCAGAGGGGGGAGAGCCCTGGGGACTAAGTGCTCCGCCCAGAGGGGGAGAGCCCTGGGGACTAAGTGCTCCCGCCCAGAGGGGGAGAGCCCTGGGGACTAAGTGCTCCGCCCAGAGGGGAGAGCC